ATACTGACCAAGTGACGAAGGCAAACAGAATCCAATCGTGGGCAAACGTAGTAGTATGGAACAAGCTTGCATTAAGAGGCATGAATTTACAATACATCGCACCACTGATATAAAATGGGGAGAAAACTGTGTAGTTGGACATAAAGGATGTTGAACAGGAAAATGAAATATGGAGTATAGCTATTATTCTCTATGTAATTGGGAATTCACCTTCCATAGGGGCCATGGAACGATTCCTTGCTTTTGTAGGTAAGTACTCCATAAAACCCCAGATCTATTATCATAATGAAGACTACTTCGTTATTCGATTTGCAAACCTAGAAAAAAGAAATCAAGTACGGTATACTGGGACTTATACCATCAACAATCGTCCTATTGTAATGAAGGCGTGTACACCAGATCTCAATTTGCATAAAGAAGTACTGAGGACCATTCCGCTATGGGTAAAGTTCCAAACCTTCCCCTAAGCTGCTAGAGCATGAAAGCTCTAAGTAAAATTGGTAGTGCTCTTGGAGATCCTGCGTATTGTTGATGATTGTACAACCAGTACAGTTAGAATATCTTATGCTAGAATGCTGATTGAGATGGACATTACCAAACCACAACCTAGAAGGGTGAAGTTTCAGGATCCATTGGGGAAAACAATTGAGCAAGAGGTGACCTATGATTGGGAACCTACATACTACACCACATGTATACAGATAAGACATAGTTGCATTAAGAACATAGGGTAGCAACCACAAAAAACATGCATACAAAGGGAAAGAGAACAAGGTGAAGCAAGTCCGGCAAAAGACTGAGAAGACTGTACCTATGGTGAACAATCATGGGAATGACCAAATAGAGAGGGTGGAACCACCAAAGCCCCTATACAAATCTATAATGCAACTTAATTTATCTACTGATCAACCTGCAAAAGAAGGATGGATGATAGTATGTGGGAAGTCAGCAACAAGGCATGCAAAAACTACTACAACTGAGGACATCATCTAGGTGACAATAATGGATTCAAATCTTTAGATGAAACAAGGGTACAAGAATCTACCACCAAGGATCCAGGACCAAGCAATGTGCAGGAGAGGTTCTATATATAGGGGTTAGGAGCAGTATCCTAAACTCAATTCATACTAGTATGAGCATAATTACATGGAACGTTAGAGGTTTGAATAAATCATACAAGCAAAAGGAGGCAAATGAGTTCATAAAGAAGAATTAAAAGGCAGTGATTGTACTAGTAGAACATAGAATAAAAGATCAAAAAGCTCAAAGTATTATCAACAAAATTGCTCCAAGCTGGCACTGGGTATCAAATTTCAGCAGTACAACTAAGAGTCAAATTTGGATTCTGTGGATCCAAAAATATTCGATTTTGGACTAATTGATATGGATTGCTAGTGTATACATAAACAAGTCAGAACTCATTCAAGACTGGTGTCCTTTGGCTTTACTGCAGTATATGGCTTGCACACTATTAAAGAAAGATTAAGTCCGTGGCCAAAATTAATTCAAATCAATTGTATGCAACATGGGCCATGAATAACAATGAGAGATTTCAACTCAGTACTCAACAGTCAAGATATACAACATGGTACTGCAATAGAGGATATGGAAACAAGGGATTTTAGGGAATTCATGAGTGATGCTGGCATGAATGAGCTACCTACTGTTGGTAGATATTATACATGCACTAATAGCCATACTTATAGCAGGATAGATAGGGGGATAGTTAACATAAACTGGATGATGACAACGCCTACTTTACACATTTAAATCCTAAAACCTTCTTTCTCTGATCATTCCCCACTTAAACTGATGATCACGCAATTACAGAGGGAAAAAAACTAGCTTATTCATTCTTCAATAGCTTTACTGTCCATCCTCAATTCCTACCTGAAGTTGAACAGACATGGATTACAACTGGAGCTACAGAAAATTTATAATGAGTGTTAAATAAGCTTAAGAGAGTTAAACACGCCATAAAGGTCCTTAATACATAACATTTCAAAGGAGTAGATGATAGAATCAAAGAAATTAGAAGGGATCTATAGGAGGTGCAGGAAAATATTGGTCGTAGAAAAAAGGATAATGAATTAATTGAGAAAGAAGATGGACTAAAGAATAGCCTAAAGAAATGGGGACTGATATAAAAAAGCATGTACATGTAAAAATCAAGAGAACAGTGGTTGAAGCTGGGTGATTTAAACTCTGCACACTTTTGTTGCACATATTAAGAATATGAGCACTTTGAATGGAATCCACAATTTACTTATTGACACAGGAGATCACATACACGCGGAGGAGGAAATAAAAGTTGAAGTACTTGGATACTATAAACAGCTGGTGGGTTCAAATGCTTCTGCAATCCCAGCAATAGATCCAAATGTAATGAAAAGAGGGGCAGTCCTAAATAGAGAGAAACAACAATAATTGATTCAGCCTGTTACCAGGCATGAAATATGGAAGGCCCTACAGGATATAGATGATCTGAAGGCCCCAAGATATGATGGACTTAATGTAGTCTTCTTCAAGAAATCATGGCCATCATAATCGAGGAGGTAACACAAGTTGTATTGGATTTCTTTCAACCAACACAAATGTTCAAGCCAATCAACTGCACCTCAATAACCCTTATACCCAAAGTCAAGAATCCTACCAAGAGTGTAAACCTATTTTCTCTTGCACTACAGTTTAGAAAATCATCTCAAAGGTGCTGACTAGTCGACTATAAGGAGTTAGGGATAATTTAATTGATAAGACTCAGTCTGCATTTGTTCATGGGAGAGTCATTATTTATATTATCATATTGAGTAATGAGCTAGTGAAAGGTTATGGGAGAAGAGAGGTGTCACCGAGATGCATGATGAAACTGGACATGCAGAAGGCACATGACTCACTTGAGTGGCCCTTTCTTGAACAAATCTTATGTGCCTTAGCTTTTTCATAGAAATTTGTGAAGTGGATCATAATCTGTGTGTAGAGTATCACTTATACTATTATCCTAAATAGTTCACCAACTCAACTATTTGAAGCTAGAAAAGGACTTAACAAAGCTAGAACTTGTGCAGGATACAACTCCACCTTCTTCTCCAACCAATGTTGTATCTCATTCTTCTCAACAAAGTTCAAACGAGCAACTGCAAAAGACAAGGAGCATTCAAGAGCTCTATGATGGCACAGAAGAATTTACTAATTTTAATTTTTTATATTGTCTCTTTGCTGATAGTGAACCAATAAATTTTGATGAAGCTGTTACAGACAAAAGGTGGAGACAAGTCATGGAGGAGGAGATCGAATTAATAGAGAAGAACAACACTTGGGAGTTAATAACTCTTCCCAAGGGTCGGCGTGCAATTGGAGTAAAATGGGTATACAAGACAAAGAAGAATAAAAATGGAGATGTGGAGAGATACAAGGCACGACTTATAGCTAAAGGCTACAAGCAAAGGCAAGGCATTGACTATGAAGAAGTTTATACACCTGTTGCCCGCATGGAGACGATTCGTTTGCTGATCTCTTTGGCGACGCAAATGAAGTGGAAGATCCATCAACTAGATGTTAAGCCAGCCTTTTTGAATGGCTATCTTGAAGAAGAAGTCTATGTTGAACAACCATTGGGCTTCGTGGTCAAAAATCATGAAGATAAAGTGTTGCAGTTGAAGAAAGCTTTATATGGATTAAAGCAAGCCCCACGAGCATAGAATAGTTGAATCGACAAGTATTTTCAAGACAATGGGTTTACTCGTTATTTCCATGAATTTTCTCTTTACCTTAAAATTCATACGAATGGAGATATCTTGCTTGTTTGTCTTTATGTTGATGATCTTATTTTCACGGGTAATAACCCAAGTTTGTTTGAAGTTTTTAAGAAAGATATGTCCCTTGAGTTCGAGATGACAGACATAGGGCTCATGCCATACTACCTGGGCCTAGAAGTGAAGCATATGGATGATGAAATTTTTATTTCTCAAGAAAACTATACGAAGGAGATCTTGAAGAAGTTCAACATGCTCGATTGCAACCCCATGAACACACTCAGAGAGTGGGACAAAATTGTCCAAGTTTGATAAAAGAAAAAATGTTGATCCCACATTTTTCAAAAGTCTCGTGGGAAGTTTGAGGTACTTGACTTGTACCATGCCAGATATACTCTTTGCAGTTGGAGTAGTAAGCCGCTTCATGGAAGCTCCTACCTCTACCCATTTGAAAGTCACTAAAAAAATTCTTCATTACCTAAAAGGTATGATTGACTTTGGACTATTTTATTCTTGTTCTAGTGATTTTAACCTAATGGGATTTTGTGATAGTGATTATGCGGGAGATATTGATGATAGAAAAAGCACAACTAGTTTTGTATTTTTCTTGGGTGATTCTGTTATTTCTTGGAGTTCAAAGAAACAATCAATTATTATTCTGTCGACTTATGAAGCTGAATATATATCAGCAATATCTTGTACGTGTCATGCTATTTGGCTGAGAAGATTATTGAAGGAGCTCAATTTGACACAAATTGAAGCTACCGAGATTTGTATTGACAACAAATCCGCACAGGCACTTGCCAAGAATCCGGTGTATCATGATCGAAGCAAGCATATAGATACAAGATATCACTTCATCAGAGAATGCATTGCCAAGAAAGAAGTCGAGCTCAAGTATGTGAGATCTCATGATCAAGTTGCAGATATTTTCACAAAGCCTCTCAAGTTTGAAGATTTTCAAAGGTTGAGATCAAGACTTGGAATGACCAAGAAAATTCAAAATTAAGGGGGAGATTTGTGGACCGATCTAAAAGAAATAAAGAAAAAGTTGGAAAAAGTTGCAAGTTGGGTTGCTCAAAAAAATTGGCAAGTTGGGCGGCTAAGTCACAAAAACGTGTTTCAACCGATTGCAATTTGCACTGCAAATTGCAAAGAATAAATGTGATTGGTCTAATGGTAGGCAAGTTTTTTCTATAAATATGAGGCTCCATTTCTCTTTTGAAACCCACCAAAAAAAAAGAGAAGCTAAGTAGAAAGCAAAGAAGTGAGAATAATAGAAAGCAAAGAAGCAAAGAAGTGAGATAAATAGTGAGTGACAGTAATATTGTAGTGAGATATTTTAAATAAAGAGTGTTATTTCTTTCAAAATTGTAGTAATGTCTTGACACTACTAAGTTGTAATATTGCTGCGCTCGGGTATTGTATTTACCCCGTTAAAAGAGTGGGTGTCATTGTTACTCTCTTGTGTTATTATTATTTTTCGTGGATATTATTTCTGGGCGGAATTATTATTTTTCCCCAACATACTTGACGCAAATTCTTGAAGAATAACAATATATAGCACGTACAAAATAACAGCATTCGCACGTTTGATATTCAAGCACTTATCACATTCTTTACTATTTAGTTTTCATATTTAGGTGCAGACATCAACATGTCAGGCTTTTCCTTTTGCATCACATAGTCACAAGCCATGAATGAAGAATCGTTCGTTAATACCAGCTTTGCAATATTTCCTGATCTCACTGACATCTCACAAAATGTATGGGTCCTTGTATCCTTGACAACACGTATTTTTTATGCAGTATGTAAAATAAACACCAAGTAGTTCTCGATATATACATTTTGTGAGATGTCACTGAAATCTTTGGTATTAAGAAACAATTCCTTCATTCATGGTCTTTGGCCAAGTGAAGCAAAAGGTAGAGAATGCGGTAACTTATCAGTCTAGTAAAGCCTTTAATTAGGCCCTAAATTTTGAGGTCCCAAAACTTTTTAATAATATATTTTATCATTTTCTCTCTTAGATAATAATGAAGTCCATAGATTAAAAAGAAACAATGTGGAATCTTTACCAAAAGAGAAAGATTGTCTTCTTTTTAATAGTATAATATTTTAAAGTTTTAAATTAAATTATTCAAATCTCTATATTAGTAAACAAAATTTTTTACAATGATATCCAAGGTAATATATTGCAAATATATGGCTAATTTCTAATTAACATGAATTAACCTTTACTACTATAATAATAATAATAATAATATTTCAACTGTGAAACTGGGCAACTCTGTAAAGCATAACAAATTAAAGTATTTATAAGATTTTGGAAGTTTATATAATGCACGCTAGCTCGTCCTAATTTCAAGCACTTACCACATTCTCTATTTTCTGATCTTCGAGATTAGGTGAGAGACATGGACATGTCAAGCTTCTTGCTCTTGCATCACTTGGCCAAAGACCATGGATGAACAACTGTTCCGGAATACCAGATTTGCAAGGAGTTTTCCCTGATTGTAATTGCATGTCATAGAATGTTGGGGTCAATGCAATACGTATTCCATAAAATGGTAACTTGCTTGACACCTAGTTCTTGGTTTATAGCCGTTAAAATCAATATAATTAGTAGCAAATAGCTCTCCATAATAACTTGTTAGCAATACTATTAATGTACTCAAAGTAATAATGCAAGGATGGCATTATATTTGAGCATTTGCCTCTTTTTATAGGGGTCGAAACATAAAAAAAACACTTTTTCAATGCATGGAAGGTTAGTTAGTAAAGTCTTACAGATTTGCATTCTTCCAACTTTACATTGAGATAATATAAGAATTGAAATGCCTTTCCTACATGAAGTTATTATTGATACAGAAGTCTTGAATGAGTGAGATCAGTTTCTCACTATAATTTGTTTATTATCTAATCACCATTCAGATTAAGTGTCGTAATTAATCTAAATCTGTATACTTCGTGGCATGATTTTGCTACCCATCAACCATGTTTTAAAATGCTACCCATTCACCTCCAATTGAAAACCAAAAAGACTAGAAAGTTGGGCTTGCTCATGACATTGACAGGTTAAGCTTACTTCTCAAGCAGTTGCAGGTCAAAGGCCGTGGATGTAGAATAGTTCCTGAGTACCTGTGTAGCAGGTATTCATGGTACACAAAGTGGGAGGTCACTGAAGTACAACTATCGTAACTTGATATTGGGTCTAATTAGTAATAACTCGGGGGTGCAAAGAACATTCATTGGCAAGAGAACCACTATCAAATCCATAACTAAACACTACTTGTCGCAAGTGTATATGAAAGGATTGGTTTATTTGTGGTGAATGATGATCAGTTGGTGTGGTGGATGACCGATCATCTTCTGCTATTTATAAAGGATATTAAGGCATGCATGTGAGTACTATTCCAAGTGGTTAGGGAGTAGGTTATTCATGGTTATGTTATTTCCTATCTTATTATTGTTACTGGTAGGTCACATTGTTTCAGTTGTAACTTCCAATTACTATTTTCTGGTTTGAAAATCACAATCTTCACTTGTTTCCGATATTATTATTATTGGTATCGGGTAGGGTAGTGAGGCATGAAAGTTTTGAACGACACTCCCATAGTATCTTCTTAATATTGTTCTTGATGGACATGTCCGAAAACAATTATCAGTTAGATTCACTGCGGAAAGAGAAAGAAATACAACAGCTGAATATAACCATTCTGTTAGCTATTTTTGCTTGCCATTTAGTTTGCAACTTGAATAGAGAAATCTTTAAAATAATAAAAGGAAGTTGCATTATTTACATAAGTGTACATAAAAAATTAGTGCAAGCTGATATTTTTTTCTTTGCAGCACAATTTAATAAACAACTGGGAGACCCTGTTTAGCAATCCCTTAGTCCCTTAGAATATTTAATCCACGTGAAATTTTGGAATAGTAGTCACATACTTCTTTTTGAAGGACCAAAGAAGTAAGGATTGGGATGTTCAGGCAGTGGCAATAGCACCACACAAGTTTGAGAGCAGTTGCTATGGCAAAAGCAGGTCTCCAACAGGGCTAATTCTTAAGTGAATAAATGGTCTTGTAAATTTTTACACTTCTTTCAACTAAGAATATAATTTGCCTCAAGTAGCTCTAGCTAAACTACAAGCTCTAGCTAAACTATCTCATACAAGTCCATCTAGGTTTCTAAAATTACAATAAGGCATTCAAGAACTTCTGCAACATAAGATTCCTTCTTCTATCAAGTTCCATAAATATGATCAACATTCACCAATTTTTAGAAATATTCATATTTCAAAAAAAACTTTATTTTATAATTCAAATATATTTAAATATATATCTATGTTAATATTTAATATTTAATCATGATATGAGAACACATATAACACACATACAATAAAACTAGTACCCATTCCGAAGGAAAAGGTAGAACAAATATAATTGAATCTCCTAAACCCAGAAGAATACTAAATGATAAAACAAAATCGAATAATAAGGCACTCCATCTGATGGTAGTAATTGAAGCAAATAATTAGTGATGTCTAAAAGAATGGGGAATATATTATAGAGGAAGAACCGGTAACTCACTCCATCTAAACCTCTACCTATTAGTAGAAAACAAAAGAAAAACAGATCGATCTACCCTTCTCTCTCTTTCTCTGTCTCTCTCTGTACCCAAAGGCCGAAATTATTATGGCCACTAGCGGTAAAGGTGGTTGGCCTTTCCCTGAGGATTTAGCGGTGGATATTCTACTCAAGTTGCCAGTGGAGTCCTTGTTGCAATTCAAATGCGTCTGCAAGAACTGGTATGAGATAATGAAGAGCCATAGCTTCATCAGAGAACACATGAATTGGAACAACAAGAGCAAATCCCCTTAAATCTTGATTTATGATCATAGTGCCCCAGATGATTCGCCTCCAATCACTTTTATTTCGGTTTCAGATGCTGGTGTACTTGAAAATCTACCTGATTATCTCCAGGGCTTTAGAGGTATGACACACCTTTTAGGTTCCGTGGATGGCTTATTTTTGTTGGAACGAGAAATTGATGGCAGCATATTCAATATCTTCTTGTCATTGTGGAATCCTGCCACCAGGGAAGTGAGCCCCTTCCTGCAGCCAACTTTGAGCTTCAACCATCTTTCACTCAAATGGACCGTCAGTTTGGGTTCGGATTAGATCCCATGACTAATGACTATAAAGTTGTTTGGTTTCGGTCCTTCTGGAATGACATCAGAAATCATACTATCCCTTGACAATATGCAGCAGTCTATTCTTGTTCTAGGGATTCGTGGAGAATCCTTGAACCTACAAATCTCATACATGAATTATGTGTAGAAGCCTTTGGTACTGCTTATTTAAATGGAACTTATTATTGGCTGCGTTGTACTTCTAATGATTGTAGCGTTCTTTCATTTGACTTTGGCAATGAGGTGTTTGTAAAGATCGGAGGGCCAGATGTTGGGCGCGCTTTCAATCATCGCAATGTGAGACTGGTATTGCTTGATGACTTCATTGCCCTCATGACCGTTGTTGAAGGATTTGCTTATGATGTATGGGTAATTATCCAACCAGGTGTTTGGAACAAACAATTTACCTTTCAATGCACTTCGTATATAAAGTCTTGGTATTCTAGCACTCTCATTTTTGTAAATAAATATTCCCGCCTATTCTCCTATGAAGTTAGGACTCATACGACGAGGAATCTCGGATTTCGTCATCCAGGCCTGAGGAGAGCCATCTGAAAAATCACAGATGGCTGCTTTGTTCATTTTTGTAAGGAGAGCTTAGTAACAATTAAACGAGAGAATGGAGAGCCGAACCATTGAAGCTTACTGACATATTTGACTCCTTGATTAAACTTTAAACAAGAGTGTATAATATGTTATCACTCAGCCTCAAGTTTCCCTATCTAAGTTTGTCTGGTGTCAATAAACCTTTCTGGTTTAAAGATCACAATCATGTTATTATTGTTGTTGCTTTGTTTCAGATATAACTTTACAGTTACTAATTTCTTTCTTGGAGATACAATCTTCACTTGCTTGAATATATATATATAATTGCCTTTTTTCTTTTCTTTTAGCGTTGCTGAACCTTTATAATATTTGAATACACCACATCATTAGGACTTACATGATCGACCGAAGAGATGAATCGTTTGACAGAAGAATAGCCTTTGTCGGAGGCTACTGTTATTTGTTATTTCTACAAATATTTGAATCAGGCGTTTTAATAAGTTTTGTATTATCTTCTTCCGTAATGAGAATAAATCTTCTCCATTATTTCTACATTGCTGTAGTCAGAAATTGAGTTCAAATATAAAGGGTTGATTATCCCTTCAACATTTTCTTTTTGAGGGGGAAGAAAAAATAAAGAACCTTTCTTGCCTTTCAATTCCTGGGGGATGGGCAGTGGCGAAGCTACAGTTCTGAAAGGGGTGTCAATCTTTGCTAGAAAATTACATTATATGAATAGGTTAAATTTTATTTTTATTATGTATATATACTATATATTGAACCTTTTTAATTTTTTATGTGTTTACTTCGTTATAATTTGACAATCTATACTGAAAAACCTGATCCCGCCACCGATAATGGGTAAATTCTATGACTAAATCCCTTGAATCCTGTTGGATAGGTTATTAAATTGAAAAAATGGAAAAAAATAGTAGGAATAGGAAAGTAATGGCCTTGGCTAAACTCCCAAAGATGTTATAGGCAGATGGAAGTCAGTTGTGTATTGATAAAATGACTGTGATAAATAGCAAAAAGGAACTTATGTTAACTTACCGGTTAACCATGGAAGACAAGTTAAGGTCTGTTAGGATTTCAACTTTAAATAATTTAAAAAAAACACTAAAAAGAAAGTAACTATATTAGATGAAATGTGGTAAAAATGGGACTCTCACTACTAGAAAATTGCCTTAAACCGTCCAGACCAGAAATACCGATCGAAGTCGGTCGAAAAACTGAAAAAGCCGACCGATTTCTGACTGACTTTAATCCGTCAAGATTAGGCTGGTCAGTAATAAATAGCGACCGAAGTTGATCGTAATTTCCGACCGATTTCGGTCGGTCAATTAAATTTCACAAACGACTTCATTAAAGTGATTGAAGCTTATTGTAGAAGTTACATGTGGTCTGGGGGGAGGGGGAATGAAATCATAAAAAAAGCTCTCATTGCTTGGGACAAAGTCTGCTTAGGTTTACCTAAGTCTGTGGGAGGCCTGAATCGGAGCAACCTACATGCGTGGAATGCTGCTGCTATTCATATTGGGACTTGTCTAACAAACAAGACAAGCTATGGATCAAATGGATACATGCCTTTTACATCAAAGAGCAGAACCCAGAAATCATGCCTGTACCAAAGACTGCAAGCTGGATGGTGAGGAAAATCTTGGAAGCAAGGGATAAAAATTCAGTCGTAATAAGTGTATTTATAACGATCCGATCTTTTTCCAATCGTGAATTGCAACTTTTCAGTTCCATATTAACGTGGGGATATTATTTAGCCCTTGAAAAGCTTAATATCCGACNACCCCCAATTAAAAAAAAAGGAAAACCCTCAACCTTCCCTTTGTTTTGATCGCAAAACACATTCAGATTTATGTTAAAAACAACTTCAGCCTTATCTCGTTACTCCTCACTATCACCTGCTTGTCTACTGGTCTGGTCGTTGTCACATATGATTGATAAAAAAAATACATCATTCTTAGAGTTTTCTTCTCATCAATGTAAGTGTCTGCTTTTGTAACTATTAATTGTACTTTTATAACTATTAACTGCGAATTTTCTTCTCATCAATGTAAGTTTCTGCCTTCGTAACTATTAATTGTAGTTGTAGAATGCCGAATTTTCCGTAGTCATGCGTTTACACTGTATGTTTCAATCTAGGGTTCTTTTGCTTGTTATGGTATCGGTAAATTTAATTTTGGACTAATATTTATAACTATTTTGTTCACATGTTTTTCGGACTATGTTGTATATACTGATGTGAGCATATTTTTTAGTAGGTTTGCTTGAAATTAAAAAGAGGTGGGATGATGTTGATTATTGAATACACTCGTTAATCTGATGATTTCTGATGATTATACTCTATCAGTTTTCAGCGATTGATTTTGGAATTTAGTTTTAGTGCTCCATGATTATAAGTATTTTCACTTTGGATGGGTAAAGGAGTGTAGTCATACTTTTCTATGTGGGATCTTTTTCTTTGATGAAACAATATGTCAGGACTCAAAATTTAACTAGTCGTGATGGCACCTAATCCAACCCGCTAGGTAAGCCAACTAATAACTATCCAATTTCAATAATATTAATAAGACAGTTAAACCAAGGAATTATCTGAATCTTATACATTTCCCAAGGACTGGTAGTACAAATTATGAGCTTCTAAGAATAGAGTTTACAAAGCTGAAATGAAATAAATACATCATTTGTTTGAAAAATACATTAACAGAGTTCTATAGATCTAAGACTACCATGAACAAGAGGCAGCTACAACCGGGACGCAAGTACATTTTCAAATCCAACTCCCATCGAACACAGCAACATCAATAGCCAACATCTGCACGCAAGGTACAAATGTGTAGTATGAGTACAACCGACCTCATGTACTCAATAAGTAACAAACCTAACCTTAGGTTGAAAGTAGTGACGAGCTAACACAAAGGTCGGGTCCAACACCAATATTCCACAACAGTTCATAACAGCATAGTACAAGT